TCCATAAGGGGTTTCCAGGCAGCAATAAACGTAGTTATTGTCTTTTCTCTAATCAAAGAAGTCAATTTGGCCATCGCAGCAAGTCCCATCATCTTCACACTTCCAGACCACTCTCCATAAGGCACTATTCCTCTTTTTTATTTTTTATTAACTAAATTTTTTAAAAAATGAAGAAAAAGAATACACAACATTATAAAAGAAGAAAAAAACTTTAAAAAGGAAACAAAAACGTACAAAATGTATATTTGTAAACATACACCTATCAATAAATTGAAGCCATGATTCATTACAGTCATCCATGATGGATCTAAAATAACTAATTCTGTAAACTGCTAAATACTTGCAGCCGCATATTTGTGTTTCCAATGTTGAACAATAAATCTTTTGATTATGCATTCATTTTCTCTGTCCAAAAGTCACCTTATATGTGACTCAGATAAATCTCAAGTTGAGGTAATACCTGCAATTACTTCTCATCGAAATGGAACAGTATATTTAAATAAAGCATAGGTTCACTGCATCTCCAACAACATAGAGACATTTTTTCCCCAACCATTAATTACTACCTGGGTTTTTTTTTTAAATACACACACACACACACACACTTATTTTGGACATTATTACTCATTTACTGTTTGGATCATTTTAATTAATTAATTAATGTTGTTCTTATTTAAAACAGTTTCTTTTAAAAAATATATATAAGTGTCTTAGCTTGCCTTGCTGTGTGATGTGTTTATAAGGAAACCATTCTTGCCTGAATTTCTGCTGTGAATGTATACCGTCAGTTTTGCCACTGCCACCTATTCTTCAATTTTAGTCTCTCAGTCCTGTATTGATGGCAAGGTTTCTCTTTTCCAAAGTTGTGCCAAATTGATTCTTGCTACTGTCAGCATATATCTTAATAAATTATGATGCTTTTCGTTTATGTTTTCAGAGATCACACCTAATAAAACTATTTGTGGTTTTAATTCAGATTTTATTTTCAGAATGTTTTGGATGTTTTGACACTATTTCTCAATCATATTGACAATTTCTCCACTAGTGACTTATCCAGTAGTGGCTTCATAGCATTGTTACTGTTATTTTGGCACAACTATGTATGGTTGAATGACTCTAGATGCTATCAGTCACTAGTGGAGACATGATCTTAGATAACATGGAGCTCTAATGCATTTTGCTTAAATGTATTTAGGATTTTCCAAAGGGAAGATGGCATCCTACCTAGAGCTGGTTGGCTCTGCCTACTGCAACCCCTGCTTCCAACTCTTAGAGCATGGCTCTGTCCTCTAGGCCACCAGGCTGATCAGCATCAGCTGACACTGTTTCAATTGTTACTGACTTTGATCATTATGGGGTGTATGTTAATACTGGCTACATTTACAGAGAATGCCATATGTGATTAGTTTTAACCTTTGTTTCTTGAATTCACCCCAAAGGCTGAATATACACAAGAACTGAACCATAAACTCAGTGCACTGGCTGGGTTCACACAACATACTGAGTTGTTAAAAAAAAAAAAAAAGTAACTAAGCTTACAGTGGGAGCCAGTTTGGTGTAGTAGTTAAGGCATCAGGCTAGAATCCAGGAGACTGTGAGTTCTAGCCCCGCCTTAGA